AGTGGTTTCTGGGGAGTGGTTTTTGGGAAGTGGTTTCTCAGAAGTGGTTTCTGGGAAGTGGTTTCTGGGAACCGGTTTCTGGGAAGTGGCTTCTGGGAAGTGGTTTCTGGGGAGTGGTTTCTGGGAAGTGTCTTTTTGGGGAGTGGTGAAGGCCTAAGTCCAACCCAAAGACATCCTAAAGAAGCAAGGCCCTAAGCCAAGCCAATCCTCCTATATGGACATGGTTGATGACGTATGATGTTCATTTGGCTCAAGTGAAAAAGGAGCGCCCGCAGCCGCTGCCCTGTCGCGGTCACGGCGCACTCAACTTGTGTTGACTGTTTGGTTGTTGTTGGGTTGGTTTCCACTTCAAGTGGTTATCAGCCGTATCGGCTTGTTTGCTTGTTGTTCTTGGCTTTTGGGGGAAGAGCATTCATTCACTTCCATCCGCCTCGGTGCATACAATCTGATCCTCCTCGTCCTCATCGAGGAATCAGGTCCGGGGCCGCTGCGAAACGTCGTCGCACGGCCTACGCACGGAACGTATCAGAGCAGACTGGTATTCCGATTGAAGAAGTGCCTATCATTCATACAGGTGGACAATCAAGGCCGCTCTACACTCCTCGCATTTGGGACAACGAGAGTTCTGGTTCTGACGAGGATGGTGCATCGGAGGGTGCTGGGCCTGCGGTGGCTTTGCCAAAGGCCAGGCCCTTCAATGTGGTGACGGCTGAAGTGGTCAGGCTTGTTCCTCGGTCAGCCTGGTTCCAACAAGGTCGAGCAAGTGTTGAGTGGAGGGGTCTTGGTGGTTTGGAAAGTCGGAGAGCTTTAGCGGCATCACAGACTGCAGAAGTTGTTCATCCGTGGTCCAGACCTTCTGAGCCGACCGGTGCACCGCCAGTGCCTCCGGCAGCTGAGCCGTATTGGCCACCACCTCCGCCTCCTCCAGCTGACCCGATTCGTGTTCCGCCGCCGCCTCCGATCCCAGCCAGGAGGATTGCACCGGATTCGACTCCGACTCCATCAGGTTCGGCGCCAACATCGATTGCTGCGCCTCCAAAGGCTAAGGTGGTGATCAGGCCTTCTGCGGCTATGTTTTGGCCAGAGGGAAAGGCTCCTAACCAGACCCTAAAGAAGTGAAGCCCTGAGTCAAACGCAAAGACATCCTAAAAGAAGTGAAGCCATAAGGCAAACCAAAAGAGACCCTAAAGAAGTGAAGCCCTAAGTCACAACCAAAGACATCCTAAAACAGCAAAGCCCTATGCCAAACCAACCAGAGACCCTAAAGAAGTGAAGCCCTAAGTGAAACCCAAGACACCCTAAAGGAGCGAAGCCCTAAGCAAAACCAAAACAG